TAGCTTTGCGCGAAATTCTAAAAACAAACAAACAATACTTAGCTTCCAGCTTTTGATACATATAAAGTTAGTTTTAAAGAACATGTTATTTATTTTTCCTGGGTTATATTACCAATAATTTATGTTCAAAGTTCAACGAGATATCGCTAGTTTTATAGCTTACGGAACTTTGAACAAGTATTTACTCATAAACGTACACTTTTAACGTGATCAGCAGACGTTTTCACCAACTTAAGTAACTTGTCCCTAAAATCAAAGCATTTTATTCAGATTTACAGAGATTTTGGAAAATGGTGTAAAACACATTACTAGAAAATATCAAGACTGTATTGCAAGGTTTTGTATATTTGATGCAGAACATAAAAGTTAAGAGGTGCGCAGCATGCATAGCCTTTTGGATAACTAGCTTTTATATATGTGCTGCCATCTCTTGAAAACTTCTCAAGTTTGAAAAGGGTGTTGCTCTCTTTTTTTTTCAGCGCAACGCTACACAATAGACTATCTGCTCTTTAAAAAGATGTTAAACGAGTCGTTTAAATCTATCCTTGATAAGTGTGATAGATGTAATGAGTTTGAATTCGTTCATTTAGAGATTATTGTCCGTAAAAGCAAGAGACGGAAAGCCCGAACTCTCTGTGTTATTTAATTAGGACATAGGATGGCCTGTTGGTTAAAGCGCTCGAGTTGCAATATGCGGATCGCGAGTTCGAATCCCATCACCGAACATGCTCGCCTTTTCAGCCATGGGGACGTTCTAGTGTGAAAGTTAATCCCACCTTTCGTGGTAAAAGTAGTAGCCCAAGAGTTGGCGGTGAGTGTTGTTGACTAGCTGCCTTCCCTCTTGTCTATCATTTCAAAATTAGGGACGGCTACCGCAGATAGCTTGAGTAGCTTTGCGCGAAATTCAAAAACAAACAAACAAATTACTTAAAATTAAGTGAGTGTTCAATCAGTAAATTCGAGGCGATGCTTTCATTTTAAACCCATCTGTAAAATTGTTATAGGAAAGAAATGAAGAGACTCGTGCAGTATTTAAAATGGTACTTGTATGTATAAACAAATGAAGGCACAGGAACTATAGCATCATTCACGGAACACTAGATTTCGAATGTAAACGTTTATTTGATTTCACAATCAACACTCGTAATATTTGTTTATTTTCCGTTTATCACCGTCCGTGAACTGTTCCAATCTTACAGCAACGCCCAAATCATTAAGGGAAACACTAGGAGATTTTGAAGACAAGGTTGGCTTGTTAAAATCCAGAGCAAAAGCCCAGGCGTGATAGTGCATTATTGATTTGTAGTCGTAGGTTTCTTCTAGGTGATCTACTTCAAATAGAGTGTACTTGTTGAAGTTATGCTTTTGATCTGAAATTAGAAAACAATTGTGGTAACAAGTTCCTCCTAGATAAATAATATTAATTTATTGGTCAATACTGCATCATATTTCAACAGCATACTAGAACGTATTACCTCAAAACGTAACCCGAAACCAGAGATTTATCTGAAAAAGGTGACATAATATTATTTATGAAAACAAAAGTTCTGAGATGTGTCACTGAGTTTGAGTCTGATATCGCAGAAATTTGGGTTAGTCGTCTGTTTGCCTCCCAGTAGCTCAGCGATAAGTCTAAAGACTTATAAAGCTAAAAATTTGGTTTCGATACTAGCGGTGGGCACGGTACAGATAGCCCATTGTGTAGCTTTGTGCTTAATCACAAACAAACAATAGATTTGTTAAACGTATTTCAATTCAGAAAAAAGTTATACCTTAATACCAATAACAACATTAATAACAAAGCTAGCTTACTTTCTCTTACATGTATACTTTATGTGACTTCGAGACTTTCAAAATTATATACGTCACATATTTACAGTCAGATGTCTTTATTTACTAATGCTATTTCTTATACGCGCTGACTATGTGTTTCAATTCCCTTTTGTTTCTATTTACCAAAGTTTGTTTTATATGACCTAACGAGCTTAAGAATTGCTATATTCGCCACTCCCACAACAGTCAAACAGACATATTGTTAACTTTAATTGACACAAACTAGTGTCTCAAAATGAGTCATCTGTAATAACGCGAGGCTACTGAGAGTAACTTTAATTGACACAAACTAGTGTCTCAAAATGAGTCATCTGTAATAACGCGAGGCTACTGAGAGTAACTTTAATTGACACAAACTAGTGTCTCAAAATGAGTCATCTGTAATAACGCGAGGCTACTGAGAGCGATTCTTTTGAACACGAATAAGCCTAGTTTTATATTAGTTGTACTCTGTTTTTGTTTTGCATTGTGCCCGGATGAAAATAAAAATATCATTATTAAATAATTACTTTTACTGAAGTTGAGAGTCGCTTCTATTTAACAAGTGTTATACTGTAGACTCCACGTGTTAAAAAAAAAACCTGATTTTAGTGTTCCTGAGCCTCCCGGTGGCTCAGCGGTACGCATGCGGGCTCACAGTGCTAAATATTATGTTTCGATACCAGCGGTAAGCAGAACACAGAAAGACCATTGTGTAGCTTTGTGATAAACAGCATACAAACTAGTATTCTCGGTTCTCAGACTTGTCATCGTAGTGAAACACATTTCTCTACTTGGTTAATCCTAAAATCATGAGTCGATCTACCAGAAAATGTCATGGATTTAGGGTTCGATAGCTTACTTCGATAAACACAATGAAACTCCCTAAATGCTATTTTATTTTTTATGAAAACTCTTCCCAAAGTACAGGGTTAATCCATTTTGACCTTGACTTTTTGCACTGCAAGAATGGTTTTCAACATATTTATGACATTTAGGACACTGCGCACTTAGTAGAAACAACAAAAATGTCCTTCAACTATTTCTTATGGCTTTTATTGGTTGAGATCTGATCAATCATATCTAAGTTCTGTCAGTCACTGAACGATATAAGAGAATGAAAGTGGTCATCATGAAAAGAACAAAGTATTTCATTCTAAGTATTCCTTCTGCCTCGCAATTTTCGTGTCCTCTTTTGATTAGATTCTAGCGTTTTTGGACAACCTCTCTTTCTGATCGATTGGACTTTAACAGTAACTGAAACCCCAGTATTTATGTTGACTAGTTTAAAAGTGTAAACGAGTTTTACGTAGGTAAGTTACTTTGAAAAAGGCAATATACTTCACCAAAATATTGTCAATAATGGGATTGGGGGGGGGGGGACTTATTTTCAAATGAAGTTTTCTCTGCAAGAAGTGAACCGTTGATCAGAAAAGTTTTAGTGTTTGAAAGATCTATTACTAATGATCATTGAAAGATAATTTTTGTGGATCCTTTGCTGGATATTGTGATGACCGAAACAGCTACTATTTGCTGTACGATCGACTACTATTTTAAGGGATAACTTGACAAAAAATAGATTTTCAACCTTAAGTTAGGAAGGGTTACACGTGCAAAAAAACAAACAAAACAACCAGTTACTTACGTGCACGGATATTATCCCAATGAATGTTGACGTAATGGTCACGGTCCGCTCGAGACTGCTCGTGCCAAAACCCAATAGTGTGCATCATCTCGTGCATGATAATTCCTTTGTTGATGCAAGCTGGTATCTGCAAAGAGAACTCTTGCGATCCTCCAACTTTACCCACGTGAGACCAGCAACTGTAGATAGAACAAAAGTTTTTGTTAGCCATCTGAACTGGACTAATAAACTTGTTTGTTATAATACCATAACAGCATAGCCTTGATATTAGACTGTTCGATGATTTTTATTAATTGCTTGAAAACGTACGGCACGGCTCAAGATGTTTACATGCAATACAATGTAAAAACGTATAATGATTACAACAGTAAATATTTTATAAATGAATGTGAATGTAAAGAACTGTTAAATAAATCTAGAGTGATGAGTAAAAATGACTAACGTTATTTTACACGTAATCTGCACCTATTACTGTCTGGTAAAGCAACAGTCAGGAGAAATCCAGTGACACGCGTCACTAATTAGATATTTAATCCAATGTTTGCACGTTGGATTAACAAAACGAGCTCAATCTACTTAGCGGGGGTAAGGTGAAGATTTCTGCGTATTTAAAAACTTTCACCACTTCAAACACTTAGCAGAGCCAAGTTAAACAATTATTAGAACAGAAGGTATATAGTGGTTAGGCCATCGATCATAATTCGAGCTCTCTCACTATATAGGCTCTCCAGTGGCTCATCAGTAAGTCTACAAGCTTATGACGCTAAAAATCGGTAACCGATACCCGTGGTGTAGCTTTGCGCTTAACAATAACCAACAAACTAATTTATATATATAGATAGATGAAGTGTGTGTGTTTGTTTGCACCCTAACTCCTCCGAACCTATTGGGCCAATCTCAACCAAAACTTGTAAGTAAATGTATGAACTATGGGAATGTCCTAAGGGGTCAGAATTGAACTTAACCCTATTTCTATTTTGTAAAGCTTGTTGATTAATTACTCCCAACCTATTGAGTCAATCTCAAACAATTTTGGCAGGTTGATGCTTTAGACAGTGTTGAGTATTCTAAAGGGATTCAAGGTCAATGTATGAAAGTTGCTGGATTGTTTCTCAAATAACGATGCTTTTCTCATGGTCAATGAGATGTAGGGTGTTCAAGGGTGGGATCACCACAAAATCTTTATTTGTTGGTAGATGGAAATCAAACTGCAAATGTTATTTACAAAGAAGCTTTGTTATCACTTTAATAAAATTTTGAGATAGAGTTTATGTTCAAGTTATTACTTTGAAATATATGATTGCTTTTAAACTTACATTGTTTTAATTAAGTTTAATGATGGGTATTTCAGCTTGTCGTCTATATAGAGAGAGAAACGCGGAAACATTGAAAACATATGACTGAGAAAAATAAAACCTTCGACCAATTTGAATACACCCCCCCCCAAAAAAAACGCAATTCGCGGTCTTAAAAATATTCAAGCCACTATAAAAATAATATACCGCCCCCCCCCCCAGTGGCACAGCATTCTGTCTGCGGACTTACAACGCTAGAAATCGGGTTTCGATACATGTGGTGTGCAGAGCACAGATCGCTCATTATGTAGCTTTGTGCTTAATTACAAACAAACAAACAATATATATATATATCCAATTCCGCCTATAATAAGCGAATTTGTTCTTATTTGTTAAACGCAAAGGTACACAATGAGCTATCTGCGCTTCTAGCGTTGTCAGTCCGCAGACATAAGTACTTTTGAAATAACTGTTCACTAATTATTACCTTCGACAAATTATTCAATCGTACCAATAACTGAAACCGATTAGAGCAGGAGGCTTGATGAGATCTAGGTTAAGAACACTGGACACTGGGCAATAAAGTATGAAACATAAAAAAGTAACGAAATTTTAAAAAAATTGCATGTAATATATTTACTGACTCTACAAAAATAGTTGAAACAAGTGTGTACAACGAGCAATCAATTATTGTAACATGAGAAATAAAGTTATTAAAATAATAATAGAATATATATATATATATTAATAAATGCACATAATCTATATAATCAACGTATCGTTCGCTTTCAGCGTGTCGGTCCTTGTGTGAACTCTGAAAAACCTTTGCCTGGCATTAAGGACAAATACACCGATACTTAGGCTTGTGAGGATGTTGATAAAAGGTGGTAAATATCCTGAAGGATAAGGTGTTTATACAAAGAATGTGATGTATAGAGATATGTTTTTGTAGTACGTGGATATTTCATAAGTATTTTTACAGTTAATGACTTCCATACACAGAACTGCATTTGCCATTTCATGAAGTGCTCTTTTTCGTGAATTCTATTCAAATATATTAAAATGGAAAGTATAAATACGCCTCGTACGCGAAGCACGAGTGTACCCCCTAGTGGTTTTATAAAAAATAATTGTAGTACTAAAATATGTTTTAGGTTGTGTTTGTTTGTTTTAGAGCAAAGCCACATCGGACAATCTGCTTTTTTCACAACGGGAATCGAACGCCGGATTTTAGTGTTGTAAGTTCGTAAACTTACCACTGTCCCAGCGGAGAACGAATGTTTCAAAACGCAATTATTACTTAAACGTATCTTGAATTGTTCAAACATACGACGTTGACGAGTCTGACCTACAGTTTCTGGGAGGTATGAGATTTGATCTCACTATTAGGGTTGAAACTGCACATATAAGATATAATACATCTCACATTAAAATTTCGTATTATTGTCAATACTTACCCAACACTAGTGTATAAACATTTAAATCACTTCACTAAAACTTTGTTGCTTGTACTTACCCAACACTAGAGTGTATAAACATTTAAATCACTTCACATTAAAACTTTATTGCTTGTACTTACCCACCAGTAGAGTGTATAAACATCTAAATCACTTCACATTAATACTTTGTTCCTTGTACTTACCCACCAGTAGAGTGTATAAACATCTAAATCACTTCACATTAATACTTTGTTCCTTGTACTTACCCAACACTAGTGTGTATAAACATTTAAATCACTTCACATTAAAACTTTATTGCTTGTACTTACCCACAACTAGTGTATAAACATTTAAATCACTTCACATTAAAACTTTGTTGCTTGTACTTACCCAACACTAGAGTGTATAAACATTTAAATCACTTCACATTAAAACTTTATTGCTTGTACTTACCCAACACTAGAGTGTATAAACATTTAAATCACTTCACATTAAAACTTTGTTGCTTGTACTTACCCAGCACTAGAGTGTATAAAGATATAATTCTCCTCATTACTTCGCTCCACAAATTTGATACACGTATGTTTGTGGTATTCTTCCATAGCTTGAAGAATAACTTCCCTTTGTGCAGATGCTGCGTTAAAGACATAATAATGACTAAATTGTATACTTATAGTATTTGAAATTGCCTTGCTAAGCACGAAAAATTGCATTAGTGAAAACTTTGTGGCAATATTATAACCAAGTAATTAATTATTGTAGATCATTTACAGGTCATACTGTTCACAAGTCTCTTGGTAATTAGAAATATTAGGAAAACTTGAATGTCGTTTTTTTTTTCCAAAAGAAAACAAATCATGGCCCATATTATTGTGTGCATTAGATGTAGCTAACCATAAAACAAATATCTAATTAAGTAACTACTAAGTAAAACAATAGTAATCAACACACAGATTTGCCGTTGAAATAACTGTTTTAATATAAGTTAGCTAACTTCACTTACAAAAAACTGAGTCAATTTTGTAATAGATAGTGTTCTGAGGCCACCTGCTGCTTCTATCTAGAACTGCGTTGCGCTCCTAAGAAACATACATAAAACTGAGAATTTCATTATCAACGACAATATTTTTAACTAAGTACCAATTTTCTATGACTTTTCTATTAACAGGTTACTAAACTTAAAGCAACACAGAGAATGTCAACAAATAAGTGTTCAAATTGACATTAATATTAGCATTATATTAAAAATAGTTAATATTAATATACATTATGATCAAATTGAATTTAAGAGAAAACAGACCAACAAAAAACTTACGAAGTCTATCTGTCCAGGGACCAGTTTTATGTCTCCTTCAAACAAATCTGTAAAATAATATTAAAAACTCACCAATCAGTTTCCCTCTTCTTACAACATATAATAGTTTAAAGACATTTCCCCAATTTTCTTCCCTTTTCTAGGATATATGTATAAACTAATACTGCACTCAACAGCCTTCTTTATTTCAAGAACGCAGAAGGAAATTTGATTTTTATGTTCCTTGAGAATTGTTAACACCACAGAATTTCAAAGTATATAAAAATATACATTTCTGCTGTCATGTTCACTGTTGATGCTTATTAAGTGTTATTAAGATTAAAACAATAAAAATACTAAATCACTTCTTAAGCTAATTATTTTTTGTAATTACAGATACATAATTATATAAAATATAGTACAACGTTCGAAAAGCAGTTTATCTGTGCAGTTAAGTTTTATCTAACAACTAAACTCTTACCACCCTCCATTGGGCTCCAAAAGGTTTCATTCGATTCAACTTTTGAGGCGAAAGTGAAACCAACCATTAATAAAAAAACAACAAATATCATTTTACTAGGATTATTTTAACAAGATGACCCTGTATTCAGAAACCATGCCCCACTTTGTAAGAAAACTGCAAGCACCTAGATGAACAGTTCGATATCATTGGGATTACACCATCTGGCGGACATTATGATTAGTGTAACATTGATAAAATATATGGACAAAGCGTTGAGAATGTCCTTGACAGAAAAGACGACATTTTGTGTACACAGAAGATATCGCAAAGGCGAAGAACAAAGTTCAGGTAATTTAATAAGCGCACATAACACGATTTACTAAAGCTAGTAACAAGAATTAAAAACTTTGAGCAAATTGGAGAAAACTAACGATATTACAACTAGAGTTATCAAGATATAAACACCCAGTTATATAAGTTGTTGTAAAGTATATGCACTTTGGAGGCGTTAAAATAAAAAGAATAGGTAGACAATTGAATGATTAGTGATAAAGTTCGGATACACAGCTGGAAGTAACACACAAGCATACAACAATGGTTAATATTATAAGGATACACAGCTGGATGTAACACACAAGCATACAACAATGGTTAATATTATAAGGATACACAGCTGGATGTAACACACAAGCATGCAACAATGGTTAATATTATAAGGATACACAGCTGGATGTAACACACAAGCATGCAACAATGGTTAATATTATAAGGATACACAGCTGGATGTAACACACAAGCATACAACAATGGTTAATATTATAAGGATACACAACCAGTTGAATAATTTTAGAGTATGATATGTGTATACAGCAAAAACAAATATCTGAGTTTGTTGAATTTCGTGCAAAGCTACTCGAGAGTTATCTGCCCTAACCGTTCCCAGCGAAGATTAGATCACTTGATTATTAAAACCCATTAATATTTGTTCAAACTCAGTTTCTACAATAGCCTTTAACACTGTCTGTATGCTTTCAAAACATCACTCTTATTTGCTTATCTAACATTTTATGTGTACGAAAACACTGAATGTATTGAAGTTGTACGTTGTTCAAAATGTACAATACTGTATATGTAAGTTTTTCCTGTTCAGGGATTCAGGAACGAAACGTAAAGTTTACGAAATAAGGTTGTTGAAATGTGGAAAAACGATCTATAAACATAATTACTGTATTTAATTACTAAACAATGTTTGTTTGTTTGTAGTTAAGCACAAAGCTACACAATGGGCTACCTGGGCTCTGGTTTCTAGCGTTAAAAGTCCGCAGACATACCGCTGTGCCACTGGGGGGCCACTACGCAACTAGGCTGACAATTCGCTTTTAATAGTTTTTTTAGTTATTAATAATGTGTATTACATTACACTAAACGCCACGTTTTCTTTTTAAATAATTCTAAATAATCGATTTTTAATAAGATTAAAAGAGGCATAAAAGTTTGGGGAAACATTTCTTTATTATTTGGTGTTGTTCTTTTGGATTATTCAGTGAAAATGAAAGGCAAAAAACATGTAATGCCCATTTAATGATTGCAAAAACGTTTTATTTCTACTATTACTGCTTCATTGATTAGCTTAATTAACGAGGGACCCGGCATGGCCAGATAGTTAGGGCACTCGACTCGCAATCTGCAGGTTCGAATCCCCGTCACACCAAACATGCTCGCTCTTTCAGCCGTGGGAGCGTTATAATGTGTCAGTTAATCTCACTAATCGTTGGTAAAAGAGTAGCCCAAGAGTTGGCGGTGGGTGGTGATGACTAGCTGCCTTCCCTCTAGTCTTACACTGCTAAATTAGGGACGGCTAGCGCAGATAGCCCTCGTGTAGCTTTGCGCTCACTGATAGGTCTAAACTTACATTAAATATTAATACAACAATATCACTTACTTCCTATTTTTCTCGTACCTCTACCTTTTTGTCGAAACACAAACTCAATATTTACAAAACTAAACTGACTAGCTGATTGTAATACATAATCTATCAAACCCACTATTTCAATAATCAATAAATCACTCATAAATCGGTCGTAATAGTATCGATTAACTAGTTTTTATATGGCTCAGTTCGTTTCCTGAACTTTTCAAGAAGGTTCTAATCATTAAACCATGCCCATCACATGACGTGAAAATCTCTCTAACAAAACATTACAAAATCTAAATTAAAAACGATACCCTCTCCCTGCATTGTGAAGTCTATTGAACTATCTTGTTACACAAAGAAAACAACAGTGCATTTATCTTAAACTTCCATAATTAACAATGAAATAGTTATTGATAATTAAGAAATCAGTGTTCATAAATATATACTTACAATCATTAAATAAATATGTGAAATAAAGTACAAACCAGAATATTTTTTCTTTACTCATTTACTGCCTCGAAACTGTCCAGTCACCCAATCTTTTTGGTGGTTTTCTTTTCCATGGCATATGGTGGAAAAATGGGAGAACCTCTGATATTTTATCTTTATCTGCTGTCTTGTAACCGAAGAAGGGGTTCTTCAGGTAATGGCCTTAAAAATTTGCTGGTGGTTCCATCTTTGGCGATGCAGAGAAAGTGAACTATACAGGAATATTAAGCTCGTCAATATGTATTTTTTGTGAAATATTCTTTGAAGTCAATCATTTGGCCTATTTTGTTGCCAACGTACTTTAAAAGATGATCATAGTGGATCATCGTTGGCTTGAATTGCCTGTCCTTCTGGATTTTTGATTATAGCATAGGCGCTAGTCTCCTCTTCTGGCATGGATTGTGCAGCCATAGTATGACACAATGATGAAGTACAGTCTTATTACCAGTTTCATCATAGTGACTTTTTATTTATCGATAGCCGATTTAAGACTTTCTCGGGTTCAGGCAAAGTCATATGTTACATTAATGGTATTCCTTAGTCTCACTGCATACTTTTTATAGGAGTGCAGAGTGATGGTTCTCGGAATGTGAATACATACAGAATGTTCAATGGTACTTTGAGTTCCCTTCCAGACATAAGTGATCCTGATGTGTTGGCTTTAAACTTACGCATTGCTCTTTTGTAGTTCATGATTAGGTGTGAAAGATCTTGATTTCAAGTTCTCTGATGTACATCGCCATAAATGGCAAATTGATAGTTGTATGTCTCCACCATTTCTTGAGAAGAGTGATGAAGGGCAATGTCCCCAATCTTCCTGATTCCAAGAATTTGATACATCACTGCGAACAAGTCTGATTCAAACTTCCATCTTTGATCTGAGTGAAGCTCTACAGGCACTCACCACAAATCTTGAAATAAATTTATTGAGAAGCTTCTTTGTAGAATTTATATTTCCTGCTTAGGAAAAGCATATGCTTATGGCCATTTGTTAAAATAGTCTATTACCAACAATTGATATTTATTCACACTGCACCCCCCCCCCCCCCCGTCGAGACAGCTGGTATGTTTACGGACTTACAAAGCAGATAGCCTAATGTGGCTTTGCTCTAAAACAAACAAGCTATATTGTAGTGGGCCAAAAACACTGATGGCAACTCTACAATAGAATTTTGTACTCCAATACACTAGTGCTGTTGTTACTTATATTGTTTCTTTGAGGAACATTTTGCTCACAGCACAGTTAATATGATTTACACTAATCTTTTGTAGATTTCCAGCATAAGTATTCTCGTATCCTCTCCAGTGTTTTCTAAACACCTGAGTGTACAGCTTTTGGAAGTGATGCAGTACCTTTAAATATAATGACTACGGAAGCTGGACTTTCTGTTCACTTGTATCTTCTCATTTTAAACATAACATTATTTTAACGTAACATAATTATGCCTTCTCGTAGGCATAATGAATCCTACTGTGTTCAGTATTTTTTTTTTGTCTTTCTCTGTACTGAACTACTGTCTATCATAATTTCATTCCACACCATTTGTAATCCATCGAACAACCAACTTAATCTAATATATCATGCTTAATCTGATATCTTATGCATCTTTTACTTGAGTATTGGATTGCAATTATCTTTCATCATCTGTGGATGTCTCAACTTGGTCTCTTTTATGTTGCATTTTAGGTTGGTGCCCTTCATCTTTTGCTTTCCTCTTATCACAATGTTTGCAACAAAGCCTTCAGGATAATGCGTCAGCAGTTTTAAGGTTCAATCTGGGATAATGTATAATTTTAAAGTTGCATCTTTGAAGTATTCAGAGCCACTTCATTATCTATCCTTCTTAAATGCCCTAAGATTTGTCTGGATTGTAAATCAATGGTCATTGATGGAAATGACTCGGAGCTTAAGTGACACTTAATAGTCCTTTCTGAGTTGTATATTATGGAAAAGCGAGATAAAACGGTCACCCCTGTATATCATCAGTTATGAAATGTTATCATCTAACTGAATTATATGTAACTGTTTGACTGGTAGTTGAGTATAAACGTGAATGGTCAAAGTGCGGCTTCAATTATTTTTGTAAGCACTTTGAATTTTTATGGTTACAAAAAACATATTTCATGGAATTTCATTTTATTTCAAACAAAGAAGAATTAGACAGCTGAATATGTCATAACAGAAACAAAGTTCAAGTACATTGATTGTTTTTAACGTGCTATTTCTTAACGATGAGTAGCCTCTTACCTCACACTAGTACACATAAATTGTTTATTCATGTTTAATATTCACGTTCTTTTGCACTTAAATAATATGTATGATGCACGGCCTTCCCGATCCCCATTAAAAGCATTTTAAATCACGATTTAAAGGCAGTTGCTAAATGGACCATTTATCTTAATTTAGTTATTTATGAGCTATGTAGGGGTCATTTTACACTACTATGCGGATCCATTTTATCCAACTTCTTAAATAAAATGGACCCCAAGAACAAGAAGTGAAGTGATTTTTTTTTAAGTATTTAAAAAAAAAAAGTATTTGCGGCATGATTTGCTTAATCTTTGTTTTAACTAGAAATATTTATAGCAGTAAGTGACTCACTTTTTGCTTTGAACGACATTTATTTTAATTGGGTGTGTGTGTTTCTTATAGCAAAGCCATATAAGGCTATCTGCTGTGTGCACCAAGATGAATTGAACCCCTAATTTTAGCAGTGTAAGTCCAAAGACTTACCGTCGTCCCAGCGGGGGACTATCTTAATTGGCGAAAACCGCATTTAAAGTTAAGGTGGCTATTCTACCTTCTTTCTGTAATTATTCATTGCCTTGCCATAGTTCTGTCCCATTCTAAACTTGAGTAACATTGTTCCAACTGCAAAATCACTAGAATCTGTATCTATTATGAGGTAATCTCCAAGAGTGAAGTGTGCTAAAACAGGAGTAGTAATGAGTTCTTTCTCCAGTTTGTCGAATTCCTGTTCACAATAAGCAGCCCAGAAAAACTTGTTTTTTTCCAGTACTTTGTGTACAAGACTAGCTATGTCAGAGAATTATTTTTAAGTACAGAAATAATAAGAATACAATTTAAGAAATTCTCTCACCTCACACAAGTTCTGTGGTTTGGCCAATTATAAGAGGTTCAATCTGTAGACACATCCTCTCAACAAATGATTCATCCACTGAATGTCTCCCCATGTGTGATTACGCCACCTAAGTAGATGAATATGACATATCACGATAGTCCAGATAGAACACATTCCATTACCTATAGCAGATGCATTATATAATCCAAATGTTAATGCAAAGAATTGGCACAATCCATTACATGCAGCAAAGGCTGTCTTTTCTCGACTTGCTTCGTCAACTTGTATTTGCAGAACCAGTATCAATCAACATGTTGCAAGGCTTTCCATCAATGAATCAACAAACTCTTGGACTGATTTATTTAAATAATGAATCACTTATCTCAACTGAGGAAGGTGGAATATTTTCAGCTGAACTTTTACCTTTAAGTCCAGCTACTTACTATTTTTCAATGTCAGGTTAGCTTTGTTGTTCTTTGGGTCTATCTGGGCTTTGAGACCCATCCTCAAGATATCATATTGTTGGTTTACTGTCATCTATTGGGCTCTAATGTAGGTTTTTTTTCATACTTATAGCAGTTCCTTTTTGGTCATCATTTAGCAGTTTTTGTTTCCTACAGACTTCTGCCTACAGTTCCTAGAAATAGACCCTTTTAAGTTGCAGTTGAAACATTTGTTGTCCTGTCGTTTATTTCCTTCATTATGAGTAAACAGGTTATTTGAATCCTTTAAGTTCTTCTAAATCTTCACCAGAGAGAGGGAATTGATGTTCTACACTATTTGACATTATGATCCCATAATTCCTGGATAGTGCTTTACGTTTTCTGCAACTTCAATTGATTCAAGTCCTTTTCCAAAAGGACATTTGTTTTAAATATGTACGTCCACTTTTCTTTAGCCCAACTTGTATATTCTCATCTATTATGCCATTTATGAATTGACCACAAATCCACCATTTTGCATGGAATATTTGTGAAACCATAGCTGAACTTGCAGAAAATATGAAAGGGCTTTCAAAGTTTGATTATTCAAGTTCCTCTGTTTTCTGCTCTTAAACTTTGCTTTAAAAAAAGTTCCTTCCACATAATACTCCAAGTATATTTGATAAGGCAGTTACTAATGCACACTAATTATAGAACTCAGTTGGAAGTTGCTTAATGCTGTTAATATTGGTCGAGCTTCCTGTTCCCTACTCCATTCATTCACTTTAGAACTTATTTCAAATTGTGCTTGCTATGCCTCCAATGGTGTATTTTCATCACTGTCTGTCAATTTCTTGATTTGAGTGATGTTGTTGAACTAGCTCACTAAATTCCATAATTTGATGAGGTAATGTGTAACTCGAGTTATCCAGGAAAATCATGTAGTTACAGATGACAAAACAGTAAAAGTAAAAAGTGTTGTTCAGATAGGTTATCTTATCCCATATTGCGTAGTTAACGGTGTTTGAGATTGTACTTCTTGCAGATACACAGACAGAGGAGTAGCTAGTTTGATCCTTACATTTGTCAGTTCAGTTTATAAATGTTTTACACTGTCATTTATGGCTTTCTGTACTTTGTTAATTTTGTTGTTATAATCCTTCTACACTGAAATACCATTTTGTGATTCTTCTTTTATTTTGTTGATGTCCTTTTGTACATTTTCTATGGCTTCCTTAATGAAAGAAGTTTTTGTTTGTAATTCTTGTGCAAAATTTTATGTATTGTTCTTGTAATTCTTCTGCTAAATTTTATGTATTATTCTTGTAATTCTTCTGCAAAATTTTATGTATTGTTCTTGTAATTCTTCTGCTAAATTTTATGTATTATTCTTGTAATTCTTCTGCAAAATTTTATGTATTGTTCTTGTAATTCTTCTCTCAAATTACTCTCTCTTTCTTTTTGATAGCCTTTCCACTGCTTCAATATTTCCAGGAAATTTTCGATCTTCCTTCGAGAACATGTCATATTGAAGTTCACTCTGGATTCTCTTATTTTTAAAATCCCACTCCTGACATCAATGTTTTAATGGGTTCTATTATTGAGCAGGTATTTTTGGATTTTGCGTTAAAAGATAATGCAAAGCCCAGTACATTTAAAGATAACAAAAACTTTTTTTTTCTAACTACTACTTCTTCCATTAACTTAACTATCTTCCACTAATATGCGTAAATTCACATCAAACACAACAATTTCATTTAACCTATTGTTCTCGTACTTACAGCGCTTCTATCTCTATTACTTACTGAAAAACAAACTCAGTATGTATTGCACTTAAGACTTACTAAATTATAGTCTAAGCTATACATTGGGTCATATTGTTTCCTAAACTTTCAAGCAGGTTCTATTACCATAAGATGAATATCCTTCTGGCAAAACAACAATATAATTCTTTTATTAAAAAAAAAGTCTACAATAATACAGCTTTTACTCGTTTCAACCAACACACATTTCCTGCTTAATTTAGCTATTTAAATGGGAAAAAGCGCTTGAATGTCAACTTCGTAAAATTTAAAATTTGTGTTATAGGCTCATAAGTTTACCACTGAACCATCAGGAAAGTGGGGCTACACGTGTGAAGCATAAAAATCTACACTTTATTTTACAAAGGGGAGGGGGCAAAATTGAAACATTTTAATTAAACATTTATTTTCTGTCAGCTTTACCAGACAAAACGTAATCTGCATTTTATTATTTAGCCAATTACTTCTTGCCTGAAGTGAAAACGAAATTTGGATTAAATTCTTTAAGAGATATTGGTATAAAACTTGGAAAGATATTTCTAGTATAAGATTTTTTCTACTTCTACTTACTCCCTGTTTAATAATTGTATTATTTTATAGTATGGAGTTGTTTTTTGTAGATATCCAACATCCTTGGCTGATATGCAGCCCATGTGCATCTTGTTTGTGATATTATTCTCATCTCTACCATCAAACAATCTATAGTTTTTATGTTGTCAAACAACACGAATTTGGATTAATCTGTATAAACACCTTCCTCAAACTCTGCTCATTTCCTTCTTTAAAATCTAGCCTTTTGGTTGGGTAATCTCTATAATTTTGAAGAGTTAAAAATCCACTGAGACTACTTTCTTCAGGTTCCTGCTGAAACATGAAATTTTGACTTGATCTCTTGCATGGAGTAATCTTTTCCAGCCAACACGCCCATTTTGGAGTATTTCTATTTTGAAAGCCAAGAGTGCATTACCACACTACTGTTGAGAATAGTATTACTATATTTTAAGGATTATGCTGGTGTGACACTGTCTAATTGGTTGGATGACAGCAAATCACAGTTAAAGCTATGAAATTATTGCTGTACTCTGGTGCAGAAATTTTCTTAGACTCCACGGTTTTGGATTGCATTCTAGATTATTTTGACCATCCATGTTTCTGTTCCTACAGCCAAAAGGCTCCTTTCAAATCTACACTTGGTCCACAACTGATCACGAGAGGATAAGTCTTTGCATTACTTAAGAGTTAAAACTAGATTCCTCAAAAATTAATTACAATAACCTAATCAAAGAAATCTTTTGAAAACAAAAGACTTGGAAAGTAAAGATGAGAATTGTGAACTGGTTAAAACTTGGTGACAAAATTGCTGTCTGTAGTCATGTTGTAATTGTACTAGTATTCTCATGCCTGCTGGGGGTTACATGTATGTAAGGGGCATCATTCTCATTATCCACCTAAACTGCTAAGATAGGTAGAATCAGTATTGTTCATTTATTCAGTGATATTATGTCATGCAATTTGACTTGTAGCCCTAGGATCCAACAGAATACATATTAGGCCAAGGTTGGATATGAATCAGTGTACTTCTATACAGTATATTATATTAATTATGTGACACATACAGAATAAAACTCCTATAAAATCTGCTTTGCAAACTTGGTTCAGAAAATAAGACTTTACCTGTTTATATAAACTATTTTCTTTGTAAAATAATAGATAAAGTTTAATGAAATTTACATCGTTGTGCCAGGTTATAGTATTGTTAAATGGAAAACAGCTGTTGACCATATTCAGAGATGTACACAAAACATATAAAATGGTTCTTTCTCATTTTCAGTTTGACAAGTACTTATTTCTCTTGCTGTAACTATCTTCAAGCATGGTGGGATGATAACAATGTAGGGAAAGGACAGTTCAGAAAACAAAGGGAACTGTAAGCTAACAATTAAAAATCATTCATTTTTTTCAGGATATATCTTCATATGTTAATAAACATTTTTTAGCATTAGATAAATACTGATGTTTTTAAGAATGATCTTAACAAAAGAATCCAATAATTCCTGTAAATGGTAGGTGTTTACATCAAATACTTTCTGATTTCTAAGTTCACAAATTATGAAATCAACAGAAATCAAACTAACATTATGATGAAACTTCTCTTCACATAGATACAAAAGAAAAAAGATCAGAACTGGTTGTTTACATAATAAAAAACAGCAATGAAGTTGGTATTCTGTGAATGAGATTTTTATGAATACAAATTGTAAAATTTACTATCTGCCACGTCCTCGTCCTCGACCCCCAAACACTTTTCCCCTTCCTCCTGGGCCTCCCCTGGATTGAGAACCACCCCTTACAGAACCGCCTCTTGCTGAAGATCCTGTACCTCCCACTCCTTTTCCTTTGGGAGGTGGGGATTTAGGTCGGAGTGCTTCAATTCTATCAGTGCATCCAGTAAGAAATTCGTTTGGTCCTTTGTTAAAGTATGCATTGTAAGTTTCACTGTTGAAATTACTATTTGTGAGTTCAGGCCCAATGGTCAACCAGCCAGGACGGATTGTTGTGTCTCGACCAAATATGTGAAGTCTGCGACGTCCAAGACAAAAATGTTCAATAATATGAAATATCTCTTCAGGTTTATCAAGGCTACCATATTCAGTTTCTTCAGAGATTATTAGATCAATATCTACATTGGCATGAATAAAGTCACCATCAGTGCTTCGTCGAACAGTGCCCTTTATACCCATCAAACAATGTTCCTAGAAGGTATTTAACAAAGATATTAATCAGACTTGACCAAGTTTTATTCAAAGAATGTAGAAATACAGAGGTTTTGTACATTATATTAAAACAATTTTGAAGCCTCTCTACATAGTTACAAACAGTGTTGCCACAACCAATCATGCTCTTTCTGTTGATTGTGCATCTTGATAACAATCCTACATCAGTTTCCACTATAAAGGTCTCTGTTGTAAGGTTGTCATGTTCAAAACACACCAATTCCTCTCTTCTTACTTTCCATAACCTATCTAGTGTATGAAGATGATAATTTCCCAATACCTCTTTCAACACAGTTCCTGCATTTGGTAAACTGACTTGTATGCCTTTGTATGGTACAGCATGTATATCAATTTCATTCTCCAGCTGCTTAAAGTATGCAAAGACTGAATAAATACATCATATAAACAACTTGGGTAAACATATCTTGTACAATTATGTTGCATATTGTTGCCCTATGCAAATAGATGGCATTTACTACTAACTTTTGTAATCATGAATTCTCATCTATTACAAGACACCATACTTTGTTTACCATGGCTGGAGTACCACTTGATGCAAGTCTTTAACTGGGTTTGTCATAGGTCCCCAAAATGATCCACATTTCTTTGTTTTCTAATGCCATTAAGTACAAGGGATATAACCATCTTGAAAATTAGAAATCCCTGATCTAAAAATCTTTATGAATTGAGTATAAAAATTATTCTGTGTTGGAAAGGATTGTGACGTATCTTTCCTATAAGCAAGCAATTTTCAGTAGCATCATATTACCTACAAAATGTAGTTCTGATACATGCTGTCCACAGTGGCTTTATATCAGCTGTGGATGTCATAAGACTTGCAAATTTGCACATCCAAAATTGTATTAATATAGTGTACTCAACCCTCTGTTCAACTTTGCTATAAAATACTAAACGAAAACTGAAGTAATTTATAAATTTCACACTCTTTCTTATCCATCATCTATAAAACCTTGATGAATTCATTGTTCATGTGCAATATCAATAACAATCAGGGAATAAAATATAAATTTGCTATTATAAGTTAAAAGGAAGAAAGTTTATTTACCCTATGCATTTTAAATATAAAGTTAAATCATTAAAAAGTGTATTAATGATTCAAGGTGTGAAAATAATTACTTCTAAAAACTTTAATAATAACTCAATAATAAATAATAAATAATTTATTAAATAAAAATTGTTCCACAGAGTACTACTTCTGTACAGCTGTTAAATGGGAGAGTAAATCAGGTGCTTGTTTTTCTTTTTCATATAATATTTTCCATCAGCTTTACTTTTAAAGTTTATTGGTCTTTAAAATTATTAGAAATCAACAAGATAACTTGGTCTTCTTTACATACTTTTACTGCCCCCCCTCCCCCACCCATTATAACAAAAAATTTATATCTTTGTCAATTTAAAGGCTGTCAAGTTTATGGACACTGTATTCAATGTAAATCTGTTCTACATCCACTAAGTAAGAAAATTATTTTAATAAGATGGCTGAGGATGTTCCAACCTTAAGAAGTCATATAATTTAACCAGTTTATGTACCCTAATATAAAAACATTTTGTATTGGTGAAACTTCATCTAATGTGAAAACACATATTAAAGAACATTTCGCTAGCATTTGTCACATACACGTAATTAATAAGTAAACACTTTAATATCCATAATAAATATCAGTTACAATTTTTCTTAAATTATGATGTTTCTTTAAGTAAACTTCACATATGATGTGCAAAGTAAACTTAATAAAAACAAATGTTTCATTTGTTCTTTTCATGCTACCAACCAATGTAGCCTAAATACTCACATTTAACAAATTACATAGTTATTTACCCTTCCTCACCTCAGCACCATCCCTTTCACTAACACAACGATTTAATTTTATAATTCATCTAATCTCTGTTACATTCTTACCCAAGAAATGATAGTAACATTCTTCAAAAGCTAAAACAATTTTTTATCTTTTCCAAATTACTTATCTTTTTTTCTTAATATTTTCTTTCAGGCATCTTGTTTTTGGGTTTACGTTTTTGTTGTTGATAAAATATTATTTCGATTTTATTAGATGTCCCTATCTACAAGTAAGTTTATTTCCATTTTTATCAACTAACAAATATGCCTTATAAGTTAACATATGATAAAAACTATTGTTAAAATGTATATAAAAATGGATTATCACTCAATATATTAAATATTAACACGTTTAATGGGATTTAATATATAAGCAATAATTAACAAGTTTGCTTAATGACTCAGGGTTCAACAATAATTAAAGTTAAAATATCACAAAAAGTTATATTTATAGTTAAACTGTTGAAATATCTACAAAAACAAGTTTTAACAAAGAATAATCCCATACAGCTAATGACAGAAGGTTCTTAGTAAGAAGTGAAATTCTGTTATAATAAGGTACACCTATTATATTGCCCGAAAAACATTGAAAAACATGACTCATGCAGAACTTCCAATTCAAGCTGATTGGATAAGTATGTATGTAAGTGTGATAATTTATTTAAAGAATAAGTTTTAAGTTAGGCCTATGGTCAACATGAGCTCACAATCAGTTTATAATAACAGTAGTCCAGTAATAAACTGATTACTCCAGCATCTTGAAGTAGAATTTGTCAGAAGTAACTAATAATATCAACTCTGTTGCTCTCTAATAGTTACAATAATAAGTTTAATACAGATCAACATATCTCTATGGCAAGCCAAGTTATATCCTCCTTTAATAAAATGTATAGCTTTTGATTATTTGCACATGTGTAGTTGGTAATATCTCATCTTCTAAGGACTTAACCTCAGTCTAAAGTTATCATAATTTGTGTTAGTTCCCCAAAAACCTGAACTATTAGCAGTTTATAAATAAAATGTTTCCCCACCCACACTGACTACGTTATAATCCTGTTAGAGGATTTACCTACTTACCCTTATCCAGTAACAGACACGTTGTAAACTATTCTATTCATCTTGATCCACTGTGAGTGCCACTATACGTTATTATGTGTGTGTATGTGTCTTTATATATACATATATGTACTCATTAAGCCACAGCCCATTATAAACTATATTCCTCAGACTGTTCCTGTCACAGTCTTATTTTAAGCTATTTTACTCAGATTTTCTCAATTATTGTGTCATTTTAAATTATCCTAGCATACATTGATCCAATCACAGCCCTCTTATAAGGTATTCAACTCGCATTGATTCAATCACAACATTTCTATCGATTTATCTTTTTTCATCGGTTTGGTAATTCAATGCATGTTAAATGGAATTTACTCCGATATATTTTAAAATGTCTGAAGTAACTGACTAAAGTGATTGCATGTTAGTACAATATAAAAACATTTTCTGAGAAAATTGCCTACTGATTAATTTTACCAGAATAGTATAAAATCTAAGCTTTCTACCTTTGTTCTCTGAAATATTGCTCTGGGTTCAAGATTCTTTGAATGACTTGGGTTTTTAATATTCGTTTTAATCCAACATATGTCTTCACATCTTCTAAACCCCCACCGTCGTAAACACTGAAAATAAAAAAAAAACCTAAATAAATGAAACAAATATACACAAAAAGATCATGACCATCACTTCCAACATCCATTAATTTTCCATACATTGAAATATCACTCAGATGTTTTTAAATTTTAATATGTATGCTTCTTTTGCCTGTTTCTCTCTTCTCTATTTTTATCAATTTCAGAAATACTTTAATTTACAGTTCTTTCTTCTTTTGATACATTATGATGATGATTTTTGTGGCAACTTTGTATACTTTCAAATCTTCGTTGTAACATGGCAGTTTTCTGTTCCATGGCATTTGATACTTTCTGGTGGCAGAGATTTTTAAAGGAATCAAAAGAATGATTTTTTTCAGATATGTCATCTGAGAACCTACAGGAACTGTAATTTTATTCATCATATTATTAAAATTATCTTTTAAATATCCTATGTATTGGAATGAATGGACTCTTCTTTCTGGGTAGTTTGGCAAATATCTTTGTCTACTATATTTTGTTGTTGTGATGATGATGTTTTGAAATGCTCCTGCCAGCAGACTGAGTGAAAAGTCTGCTGTAGAGATGCTAGTGTTTCTACATGTAATCCGTACCTGAATATCATGGGTATGGACTACTGACAGCCTTTTGCAAGACGGGCTAAATCATTCTTACTCATATCAGTACTATCTTCCACACATACCCAAAGTTTACTATTAATCTGACAATCTACATTCTCACAATCACAGCATTCCACTGTCAGATACACCATATCTATTTGTGGTTACAATTCTAGGAAAAAACAAAGAAAAATGGGAAACACACAGACATTATATACTAAGAGAAAACAACCTCCAAATGAACAGAGATAATTAACATATACTTTCCCCTCTAATTCCAGTGTTTTACACATCACGAGTTTTATAATCAGATGAATATTTTGCCTCAAGCATATAACTATATAAATCTATAAACTTTCCCATGTACATATATATAAATTTTCATACCCATTACGACAAAATTAGGTACATGTGTGTGTGACATTATATTTACTTATATTTATATAGATGCATGTGTGTGTGTGTATGTAATATTGCTCATACCATTTTTTCACTACGCTACTGAAAACTATTACTTTTATTATTAAAATTAATATTATTATAACAATAATTCAGAATAACATGTCATGTTTCTTCCTTAAACATATCTAAGTCTCCCAGGTCTTCCTTTTATTTATAGCTGAGCCTCATCAGCAACTGTAATCCTTGATAAAATTTAAAACCAAGAAAATGAGAAAAGAGTCATTTATTTAAAAAAATGTATAAGGGTGTTCAAAGTTTCATTATTTACTCTAAAAAGAAAAATTAACAATATACTCATAGCTATATACATATACATAGCACACCTCAAGATCCACTCCAGAGGAATAAAAGATATTCATACCTGTCTACCTAGGTCTAGTCCATCTGAAGATCCACACCACAGGAAGATGAATGAACGAGGTGCTGCCACTTCCTCTATTTCAAGTTTTATGATCTATGTACAAAGAATATAATTTTTATCTTGTACAGTATAAAACCTAAAGAGTGTTGAAATTTTTTCATAATAAAATTACTTTTTTTAAATAGGAAATTACACACAGAGCAGCTTTATAATTTATTTTAAAACTTTTTACAGTTTTTAACACACAAGAAAAAAAATATATGTTTCACATTTATAGCCAAATCAACTTGAATCATGATAAACAGTGACATCCATACTTCATCCCAGGTCCAGAACTTTGAATTAGAAACACCTTGAGATCTCTGATATTCCTCAAGAGGAGGTTCAACAAGTATGACGTCAAACTTGCAGTTAAGTTCCCGTAGCTCAAATGTTTCCATATCACACTTCAAGTACCTAAACATTTAATCAAAGAAGTAGCGTGTGATTTACAACAATCCTTTAAAAACAAAATCAATACAAAGTTTACTTTACTGAAATCTACTTAGTATGTAGGACTTACAGAAAAAAGTACACATGATTCCTGCATTGCTAAACTATGAATAAAGAAAAATCTTCATTTTTGTTCATATTTCTTTACAGATACGTAACTAGATGACTTGTCTAGTTTATTTCACGTGGGTTAAAGCATGTGAATTTTTTAAAGTCAATATCATATACCACAATCTAAAATTCACAACCTAAAAACTTTCTACAATGGTAAAACATTGCCTATTATTTAACATCAGAGTTATCATATGTACTATAGTAATACAAACTTGGTTATTTTTAATGAAACTTTATATTTTCTTACCCAGTACTTTCATCCAAATTCTGTAAAATCACTCTCTGTCTTAACTCCCTCAACACAAGCTAAGTCGATTTGACCGATCACGCGACCTCTTTGTACTAATTTAAAGTCTTTATAGATTTAATACTTATAACTCTCAATATAGTGTGTACATCTTTACTAAAAATATTACTTTTTGTATGTGAAAGACTTATAGTGTTAACTGAAACACTGCCACATTTTGTGAAGTATTTTCAACTAAAATAAAGACTTGTCCATGAATATATTGAGTATTTGCTTTGAATAGTCTGTGTGCAAAGTGATTTTCATGTTGACATTAAAAATACTTTTCTTCATCTGAAAAATCTCAAATTTCATTTATGTAGTCTCTAAAACCTCCTAAATACATTTCAAATGTTTGTTTTCAGTGAAACTTTATATTTCAATTGTTATTTTCTCTACCCTAACTCTATACAAGGTTAGTCAATTTGACTGATCTCATAACTCCCCCCCCCCAAAAAAAATCATAAATAATTCTAAACTACCCTCTTTCTTTTTGGAATAACTTCAAATGTTATATGAAACTACGTTTGTTTTTCCTAAGTAGCTTTAACTCCTAACAGTATACATCTATTTATAATTAAATTTTATTGCCTTTTGATTGCCCTTTGAACCATGCCTAACTACTATTCGCACCATTATAAGTTGTAAATCACTTGGGAATGTGCAGCTCATGTTACGCTATCCACTTACATTACCCACGAGCTACTCTGAGCTACTCGCGTGCATGCCTCGT